GACTTTCCCAAAGTCCTAAGGCTATCAAGCAACAGATTTGGACTTGAACTTTGGACTCATGTATAGGTCCAAGGCTTTTCCAGTATTCCACAAGGCTCCTTCCAAATCCACATTTTCAAATCTCTTGCAGTCTGAGCCAAGAATTTGCCTTTTCAACAAGCAAGCACAGTATCATCTGGGGAGCTTGCTTGTTAAAAAAGGCAAATTTTTGGGTTGTACCGCAAGAGATTTGAATTGAGAAGGGCTCAAAAGGAACTCTGGTAGTGTAGCACCTAAGGCATTTGACTGCTAACCAGAAGATTGGTAGTTCAAACTCACCAGCCACTCCATGGAAGGAAGACTTCCGTAAAGATTTCATACCTTGGAAACCCAATGGGGGTCACTATGAGGCAGAATCAACTCAATGGCAGGGGGTTTGTTTATTTCTAGTTTAGGATGGACCCAAAGAATTTAAAATTTTACTCCAAGTGACTCTTATGAACACTAAAGTTTAAGAATCACTCTTATGTTGGTAGGACCCATGATTTTCACATAAGAGACTAGAGATACAAGTATAAAGTCAAATTAGAGTAAAAATCTTATAATCTTAAATTTGAACTATTTGGAGGAACTCATAATATATACATGGATGTATACATGTATGCATACATACATATGTATATATGCATGTATGTGTATATATACATACACACACACACTATACACACACACACACACACATATATATATATATATATACACACACACACACACAAATGTGTGCATATATATATAGCACTACTACACTGAGAAATGCCTAGAAGCAATGATGATCCAGTAGTAATAAGAATTCTATCACCCTGACTGTTGTCTCTTAATATCATTTCTGACTAAAAGGAGCCAGCATTCCTTGCAGAAATGACAGATGGCAGGTTTGGCCAGGAAAAATACAAGAAAACCATTTTACTGTGCTAAAATGCAAGGAAGCTAAGAAAAATTAATGGGGTCTCCAGTTTAAAGGGGCACCCACTGGTCTAAGACGAGACAATTCAAGCAAAAAGAATAATAACTGCAATGAATTGAAACAAATGAAATATGTAAGCATACATAACAACATTAAAAGAAACTTTTGGTTACCACTGTTATCACTAGAGGAAGTACAAACACTAACTCATTC